CAAACTCCCAGAAACCTGCAGGTCCGCTGCAACTCTGACTACTTTTAAATCCAGGCTGCTTTTGCCGCTGCTTTTAATTGAACTATTCACATCTTAAACTGCACTGTAACTTTTATCCATGTATTTTTTCTTTTAATATTTATTCTATTATCTTTTCTGTTTAATGACTGATTTTAAATGCCATTTTCTTAATGTCTTTCTTAAAGCACTTTGAATTACCTTGTGTTGAAAGGTGCTATATAAATAAACTTGCCTTGCCTTCCAAGGAGGTCAGGCTTCCCAGGAACCATGTCCAATATGTTTATGTTTTGTTTGATTAAATCTACTGAAATGAGCATTCAATGACTAAATTATTCTTAATTAATGTCATTACATCATGGGTTTGCAGCAATATTAGAACGCATAAAACCCAACTTTATTTCTTCTAGTACTTTGTAAAGCACTTTGAATTGCCTTGTGTTGAAAGGTGCTATATACATAAACTTGCCTTGCCTTCCAAGAAGATGAAGAAATAATGGAGAAACATTATTATTTTTTTATTTGTGTGTATATAGATGAGACTGGCCAGAGCTGATATGAGGACACCATGTCTCCAGATGAAAGCATCGTTTATATTTAGACAGTCTTCATTAATTATTCACAGTAGGTAAAGTAGCTTTCATCAATTATTTATAAGCAATAAAAGTGGAGCGCAGCATTTAGACGGAGACGATAGAAAGGATGACGGATGAAAACACCGGCCAAAACTACTCCGATACTTTGATTTTGAAGAGAAAAGTAAGGAAAGATAAACTACAGACTCTTTATTTAGATATCCTGTAACTTATTGTTTTCCATGTTCTATTCACATAGAACAGCTTTAATGTAATGCATTCTTAACATGTCAACTGGTCATGTCTTCTACACACTAAGGAGTTAATGAAAACACAGAAAAAAATCTACATTTGTTTATTAATTAGCAGTCACCCTCTCCGTATGACTAAGGGCCGGGGCTTGTCCTGCTCTGTCAACACAGGAAGTTCGGATTGCAGCCAAGAACTTCAAGGTCACCGCTGTCTCATCAATTTCACGGCTGAAGCAGATGGCCGTGTCTTTGAGTCTTTCCTCCGGAGATTCTGCGAGGCTCAGCACAGCAACGGGGAGCAGACAGAGGCGCTGAAGTTCGCTGTAGTCGGGGCACGGAGAGACTATTTCAAATTTGCCCAGTGGGCTCCAGGAGGTCCAGATCTCATTAAAATCTATTTCTCTACAGCGAGTGGGAAGTGAGCGGAGGGTGGTGGGTTCAGGGTTCGCTGGGCCACTGTTAGAGCTCCGGATGATTCCAGTCGCTGAGCTGGAAAGAAGAACTAATGCCTCTGGGGTGAGAGCACACAGCCGTGTAGAGGTGTCGTTCAAAAGCACTTCGGGAGCAGCTCAACACTCGGGATGACACTCGAGGTTAACTCGTGCAACTTGCTGATTTAAACTACGGTGTTACAAGTGCTTATACTCAAAAGACTAATACCTGGATTTATATTAAAGAGACCCTATAATGCTTTGTTGGGATTTTCCTCTAGTGTGTTGTATATGTTTTTGTGTATGTAAATGGTCTGCAAAGAATAACAAATCCAGAGGGAGTTTCTCTCACACACTCAGGAACTGACAAACAATATGTTAACTCTGAAGGAACCTATTTCTCCCTGTTGAATTTTTTTTCTTTTGTAACTGTAAGTGAATGGTAGCACATGTTTTCATCTGATTCTATGACAGCTCAAACTGTGTTGACAGTGCACACACCAACAACATCTGTGCATGCGTGTTACAGTATGTTGGGGTGGATGTGGTTGTGGCACATCATGTATGATTAAGTTTAGACATCTTAAAATCCGAACGAGGGTTAGGGTTTGCTCCTGCATGAGATGGGCTGTTCAGCCATCCTCCACACAGAGGATTTAATTGATCCAGGATTGGCACTATACATACATTACATTTCCCATGAGATAAAGTGCAGGAACACACCAGCTGTGTGTTGACATATGAAGCATGTAATTTCATGCACACCAGATGCTCCACACTGACAGGGAAGGAGTTTAAGTACTATATGACGGTAGCGCCTGAGACAGCTTCGCCAGAGTTCATTCCTATGTTTCCAGGGATTTTTGTTCTTGATATAAATTAACATTTTTGTCAGGGTTGAGCGAAGCAGGCAGGCAGGACCCAAACTCAGATTTCACAGAATAACACCTTTTATTCCAAGGTCAAATGGAAACAAAACAGAACTCTTCCCCCGTGAACACAGTCAAGACACACAAGGAACTTAAATACACACGAGACTAATCAAAGAAACAAGAGACAGGTGAGGAGGGAGGAGAAAACACAGGGGCGGTGAACACAACCTGGTAATCAGACAGGAGGGAACACAGACAGAAAGCAACAGGCAAGACAGGGGGTGAACACTTTTCAAAATAAAACAGGAAACCAAAGACAGAAAAAGACAAAACAAAACACAGACAGATCGTGACAATTTTAAGAGATTGATTATGATTGCCTTTGCCGTTGAAATTGTAAATAAAGTCTGATCGCTTAGGTGCAAAGGGGTAAAACATCTGTATATAAGGTGTTTGTCGGTTTCCATTTCCAAGAACATGAAACCCTTTACGTGGTCTCATCAATTTTCTATTTAGTCTATTACGGTAGAAACATTTTTCAGCGTTTCATTTATGCATTGCTTTTAGTAAACGCTGCGCATGTTTCGTCAAGTTTGTGAATGTTTTCAACATTCTGCGCAATTGTTGTTAAGTTGGAGAAGATGTTTCTTCCTTTGCATGTTTTTAGCACATTTGGGTTTTAATATTCACCTCTTTTTTGAAACTGCAGCGTGTTTCTCCTAATGGAAGTGTAACCGTTTGCAGCTGTCAGCCACCGTAGATTGCTGAGTGAAGTTGCAGCAGAATAACAATAGTAGGAATCAACAGAGTATATACTGCACATACTAAGGTTATTGCTAATAGTCTGTATTGTGTGGTGATCGACCGAGCTTAACTTATGAAATCAAATAGCTTTTGCTTGATCTCTTGTTGAGCATATCTAACAAGTACAGACAGTGGACGTAGATCAGTTGCAGAGTTTGCCCCATTGTTTGATTATTGAGGACCTTTCAACAGCACTTGAAGCCTTTTTGTTCTCTGCTCTGACCTTTAGTCCGAGTGGACGCTTCACATGAGGATGGTAATTCCTGTTGGAGATAGCAAAGGCCAAAGTGAGCAGCACAAAGGCAATCAAGAGAATTGCTAATAATTTATTGCGGTGTCTTTTATCCCGGGCTGATGATCGTGGCTCTTACCTCTTCTTTTATCTATTGTCGTACAAAGACACTTTGGTTCATCCGAGGACAGATCGTGCTGCCCTTTCACCGGCCTGAAAGAGGATTGAAATACAAAGCCATGTCCATTGAATAATCCAAATCTTCGCTGTACCACCGTGTGCTGCAAATGCTTAGCAACAGAGATCTATCAGGTGTCACTTGTTAGAGGATTTCTGCCTGACATGTCTTTCATTTCTAACTTTTCTTTCTCTTTCTCTGTCAGGGGCCACCAAAGACATGGGCAAGATGCTCGGTGGGGAGGGGGAGGAGAAGGATCCTGACGCTGCGAAAAAAGAGGAAGAAAGGCAAGAAGCGCTGAGGCAACAGGAGGATGAGAGGAAGGGCAAGTACGCAAAGATGGAGGCAGAGAGAGAAAACATCCGACAGGGGATCAGAGATAAGGTAAGGACAAATACCTCCATCCAGCTAACCAAGGTTACAATCAAACAGAGATAACATCGTTGTTTTGCTTTTGTGAGTCTTCGGGCAGCGTCTGAAACAGTATTCGTCTACCTTTTATTTAAACAGGATAGGCCTCATTGAGATAAAAGAGTCCTGGCCCAAGAATGGAAACAGCACAGTTACAGACACTTTTAAAACACACAGTCATACACCAAGTTTAGCCAAAGCATCTGCAGACACAGCAGCCTGCTTCAAGGTCTTAACAAATAGCGATAAAATAGTGATGGTAAAAGTAAGAAGGACATTGACTTCTTCACCTGCACCACCATGAAGAGAGGTCGATTTCTCTGGCTTCCTGTTCCCTTTTGGAAAAGCCCGGTGTGATTTCCTGGGATTCATATACCAACGTTTTGTCATGGCCCTCAAGGCCCTGACACACCAAGCAGTCACCAGAGAACTCGCCGACGCCGACTGTTGCGTCGCCGTGTTCTCCTGCGTCTTGGCCATGTGTCGCACTGGAACGCGTACGTACGAACTGCGCATGCGTGAGTGGCAATAACTCTCCTTACCAATAGGTGGTGGTAGTGTGTATTCGTCATTCAAAAGAGGCAACAACCGGAAGACAGAGAAGAAGAACAGACTGCGATATAAACAAGCAACAAATAGCGTGTGCGTTCCATTTTCACTCTCGTCCATCGAAAA